ATCTCCCCAAAACCCCAAAACCCCAAAACCCCTTTTGGTTGTATAATATTTGAAAACAGTAAATTTAAATTTTTAAATATTTAATATGAGTTACCAACCGAGCATGCAATCAAGATCACAGAATAGAGGCTTTATGGTAGAAAAGCAACACTCTTTTGGACACCAAAATAACTTTGAAAGGTATTATTTCAGTCAAAATCTACCAAAAATGCCTTTTAACCCTGATATGACTCTTCTAAACTTATATATAGGGAGCTAAACAATGGCTTAGCATTTGTGAACAACATTTTGAAGGAAAATACGAGTTGTGGGAATTATGCTACACAGAATATTTCTAATAGGTCTCATTCACAAAGAGATCAGCATGAAGATAAAGAAAACGTTAATAACTTCAACAGCAATCATGATGGCATTGACAAAGAAAATTGTATGAAAGCTAACATCGCTGTCGAAAATAGACTCAGTTTGATAAATGAAGTATATAAGCAAAGAAAACAGGAAAGAGCCATAAATAATGAAGCTCAAAATGTGAAAAGTGTTAAAGCTCCCAAAATCAACCAGAATTCTAAAAGAATGCTGCAGGAGAAATACGGGAGTTTCCCGAAGAAAAGAGTTGACCAGAGGCTTTATGAGGATCATAAGAAGAGGAAGATTGCTCAAGATATGCGGGAAAAGTTAAATGTTCTTCATAATCAAGATCTTGCTCATCCGAATACACATAAAAACTCGATCTCTTCCTACCATTCTATCCAGACTTTATCCTCTAATGATGGGAAGGAAATTGTTAACAGACTGATGGATTATAAATTCAGGTATAATGAGCATGAAAAGAATCTTAAGAGAAAATATGATGATCAAGAATGCACCTTCAAGCCTAAAATCAATGCTAAATCCACACAATATGCTAGCCAAATGACTTTTGGCATGCCATTAGAATTCAGGAACACTATTGATGTGAAAAAGTATAATAACAGAAGTAAGAAAGTCAAGAATGATAAGAACTGAACTTTTAAGCCACAAGTATGAGAGAAAAGTAAAATGATTGCAGAGAACAAACAATATTATGACAATCAGCCTTCCAATGTATTTGCCAGACTTGGCAATCTCTCAAAGAATTCTGATAAGCAGCATTCTGAAAACAGCAGTTGAGGGTATCCGAATGAGCATGATTTTAGACCAGCCATAAATCCAATATCTGCAGAAATTGATATCAATATCAATCAAGATGATAAGCCCAGATGGGAAAGAGTAAGATATTATCAAGGCTAATACCAATTTTTGTAGCTTTACCAGCTCAATAATGAACGAGATTACATACTCGAACAGAAGAAAAAAAAGAGAGAATTTGAGAAACTACAAGAAGAGTCACAATTCTCATTCAAACCAGAAATTTTGCCAAAAAGTGTAGAGAGGAGGTCAAATTCCTCTGTTGGCACTGACTACTTTAAAAATATTAATTTCTCTCCTAATCTCAACAGTAACTCTCGATCTAACTCTTTAGCCATGAATGAGGTTACCAACAGGAACTTCAATCTCAGGTCGCCTGTTCAGTTCAACTACTCTGAAGAGCAAAGATTCGATGAACTCCCTATCCAAAGCATGAACGTTCATGAGCGAGCTAAGGTCTGGAATCAAGCCAGGGAAAATAAGCTCGAAAAGATCAGGAATAAATCCAAAGGGATCGGGATGGAAGAATGCACATTCAGGCCAAACCTGAAGAAGGTGAGGTCTAGGAGCAACCTCAAGACTTCAAGGTCAATGAAGAGGTTCCAGACTGCTAATAGCATACAGAAATATGTGAATAGGGTCAGTGGTGTGAGGGAAGTTAGGGATTCAAAGGAGATACAAGAGGGAAAGAAAGTGGGAAGCGGCAACAATTGGACCCATAGAGCCACTGTTCCGAAAGAGCCGACACTTTCTTACAGAATGGCTAGGAACAAATCTAAGAGGAGCAATGGCTCTGTTGAGAGAAATATTTCAAAAGAGTTGTTAGCGAGGAATGTCTCAGTGAAGAGTATTGATACTAAAGATTATGTCAATGGTGAAGAGTTAGCTTGTAGTTTGCATAATCATTATTTACAAGAAGATGAGTCTGATACTATGCTTCAAGAAAGCATTAATTTAGAAAGTCTCCAGAGGAGCAAAGAGATAGCAGCTGAAAAGCTTAGGTCTAGTAACGAAGGAAGACTTTCTTATGTCTCTTTACCGAAATCTGAGGAGCAGAGTATTTTTAATCAGAATCCTTTTTCTAAATCTCACTCAAGAGTTGAGTTATTAAAGCAAAAGGTTATCTCACAGATTTCTCCTTGTGAAAGGGATGCAAGGCAGAAAGACACTCCAGAAACAGTCCCAAGAACAACTAAACCTCCTCTTGCTCCAACAGGATGAATAGTCTCAAATAGGCCTAGAGCGTCACTCCAAGATGCAATGAGGATCAGTGAACAGGAAATAATCGAAGATGATCTTGAGAATCTTGAAGAGGAACCTCAATCTAATAGTGACCTCTCTGAGGACGCTCACTCTAGTCAAGGTAAGCTCTGGTATAACCCCCTATAGATATCGGCGAAGAAGTGTTTGATGACCTCAAAGGCGTTTTCCATTCTGCAATTCAGAGTATCTAGCATTGTAGATAATAACATTTCATAACACAATTCTTTTATAAGGATTATTTTGAAAAATTATTTAATCAATTTGGAAGAAGGCTTAAGGGGTTTTGGGGTTTTGGGGTTTTGGGGTTTTGGGG